CTCCCTCCCGCACGACTTTCCTTCTGTGTATTTCATTTTTTTTTTCGTTTGTGTATTTCATTTTTTTTTCCCTTTTTCTTTTTTTGTTTATCTGTAGTAGTGTCATCCCTACAGAACCGAGGCCCTGCCTTCGCGCTACGACCAGGCCTTCCCTTGGCCGACCCCCCTAATGCTGCGGCGCGTATACGGGAAGGCCTGCGACTGATAGCTGAGCGAGGTACTGGTGGTTTAAGGGACTAAGATTATGTTGTGAGTTTCACGTTTGGTTGAGACCGTCCTAGTCAACCGACATTCGTTTCGTACCTAGGAGATCAGTGCCCTAGGGAACGAATGACGTATGGGTTCAGATGATGTAAACCAAGCGTACCTATATTGCAGCGAACGAGCAAACACCCTCGACCTACCTACCTCTGCGATTGCATATAAAAGCTTTCTCACGTGGGTCAGTAGCTCGGTAGGGATACGCCCCTAAGAGAGGTGACAACCTCTTAGGGTAGGTAGGTTATGCCCCACGGGAACCTATCCTGTCGTAGGGGACCGCGATAAGTAAGGCTGGCGTACCCGGCTAGAGCGGCGAAGGGACGACACGACCACGCCCGTCTCGACGGTTCGCGGGATTATTTTGTGTTGTCCCCAAGTTGTCTCTTGATTTTGTTTGTTTAACTCCTGCATGACATGGTCGGGAGGGCTCTCGCCTTTTGCGAAGAAGACAAGAGCGATGCACTCGACAGGCCGATATGTGGGAAAGGTACTTGTGGTCAGGTGCCCACGGCCTATGTATGGACCAAGAACGGGGTCTGGATATATACGCAATTCAGGCACTGGGACTGGGCATAACAGGAATTCTCATGGGTACAAAGTAATGCAGACAAACAAAACAAAATGGTGTACAGATGCAATTTTTCCTTCTATATCTGGTCTTAGGTTATTTGTAGGTTTGGTTTTAGGGTTGGTTTGAAGGCATACTCAGGGCATAGGGGCTCGTTCAACACTCCTCGGGCTGTCCTCGGGGCTCGAGGAAATTCTCCCGTCGTCACGTGAGGAAATTCGCGTCGTCGTTCCACTCATCCTCAGAATTGTTCCCCGAGGGCGAATCCTCGGGGCGTCCCGCGGCCAGTTTCATATATCGACGAGCGGACGCAGGGGGGAGTCGGCGGTTGGTCCATCGAGGTGTGTCCGTGTGGACGTCGGTGGCCCAGTGTGGGCGTCGTGAAGGAACTGGATCGGCGGAGGGAAAAAATGAAAATGGCACGGAAAAGGCGCGCAGTCCCAGGTTCGAAATTTGAATTCGAATTTTCGCAAGCAAGTGGGCAGAACCGTGGGCGTCCCTTGCGGCTGACGGCAGCAACGTCCTTCGGCGGTAGCGTTTCTGTGCGGGGCGGCGGTTGCGTGTTGGTGGACATCCGGAACGTACATGTATGCGTTCGAAGCAGTAGACACGGCGTGACACGATCACGTTCTTTCTTGTGTTCGCGAACGTTCATTTTCGTCGCCGTTTGCACTGCGCACTGAGGTCGTCACTCGCAGCAGCTCTGTTATATGCCCCGCATCGTGTTCTGCCGTCTTTTGCACTTCGCGACGCCCGCATCCTCGCTACCAGTTTCGGCGATGGCCACGGACGGGGAGGCGGGACGCGATACACTGTCGAAGGCGGAGAGGACTGCTGTGGCAGTGGCCGTGAACGCCATCCTCTTCCGTTGTCAATTGGAGAGGGGCGAGGGGAGGATGAGAGCAGCCATTCGCGCGCGGCGGAAGAGGACACTGCAGTCGACGTGTGTGGATGACGACGACGGCGGTGCCATTTGCGACGCCGTGCTGCAGGTGTGCTACGCCATCTCCTTCGTCACCGCTACACAGACCAATCGACAGATTGGCACCGCCATCTCCTTCATCGCCGCTCAACCCCTGCTGGAGGAGTTGGGTGTACGACTGCCCATAACTGGGGTCGCGGCTGCCACCAAGCTCTGTAGCCGCCCACTCCTGCGTCGACCCGCTTCCCAACGGCACGGTCCGTGACCGTCTGTCCTCCTCCCCCTCGCTCGACGTGTCCGGCAAAGGCTGCAAGTGTCGTGGCAGGTGCGCGTACTCAGACCGCTCCAACGGCCTTGAACCTCTGGACGGGCTCTGCCCCGCCCGCTGGCCACCACCCTCAGCCCCTGCAGACCTGCACACCACCTGCCGCCCATCCATACTGACGTCCTTCTGTGAAGACCGTCTTCTGCGGCCACGTCGTGGAACGATGCCGGGGATACACACGTGGAAGAGAACTAAGAGGAGGAGCAGGAGGACGACCAGCACCAGCAGCGGCAGCCTCCGAAAGACGTCAGCCATGAAACGCACGTGGACGACGCGAACACCTACAAGACAACCGTGAACATCCAGGTAACGGCGACGGTCACTGCCGCAAACGGCCGATCGCAGCTATCAACAAAAGGTGGGTAACGTGCTCCGTCGCGGAAGACAGCGCGATCGGGAGAGCGGGGATGGGCTGAAGTATTCGAATCTGCCGACCGTTGGCCTCTTTCCCGCCAGTGCCTTAGGGCGGCGATGCAAGGCAGCCCCTTTCCGACGTCGCGAAGGACGGCAGGCCGCCGAAGGGACCGTTGCAGGAGTGTTCCATGACGACGACCGTTGTACAGCCGGGGTTGTCCGTCCTCGGCCGGCGAGGAACAGCAATGGACCAGCCGCGTAAAAAAAATTCGTCGACAGAGCAGCCGTCGAAGATCCGATTCTTTCGGATGCTCGACCTCCAAGGGACCTCGCGAGGTCCCTTGGGGAACGCGTCGAAATGGCTGTGGCCCGAGGAATCCCCGAGGAATCCCCGAGGAAATGTTTTCACGTTTTCTTCCCCGAGGATAAGTGGAACGATGATTTCCTCGGGGATTTTACACGCCCGAGGAGTGTCGAACGAGCCCCATACTCACACAAGGACCAAAAGACCCAAAATCCCAAAATTTGAGTCATTTTTCGGGTCACACTGGAGAGGCTCGCTACCCAAATGCCTCAACCGGTGACCCTTCTGTCAGCGGCCTGCGGGGCCGCGGGCGGAGGTAGTCTCAAATTACCTTTCGTTTTTTTTTTTTTTTCTATGTTCGCCAATTGAAAAGAATTGTAATCGAAGAAGACAGCCCGCCAACAACTGAAAGTGCTACCAGGAACATTTACGTTGTAGAGAAGGCCCACGCTTTATACTGGCATCAAAAAAAAAACTAAAAAAAAATTCCATCCTTTTGTTTGGTCCTCCCTCGTGTGACCGGGCACACTTGCTCTGAGTGCAAAGTGTCAGGGTTGCGCCTTTGTCCTTTCTGGACAAGGTCCGCCCCGGAACCAGATGCCTAAAAAAACAACGAACCAAATGCCTCAAATTTTTGAGACTTTTGGTCCCCGTGTGAGTATGCCCTCACATTGGGACCCTAAAACCACAAAGTATGCTGATTTGGGAAAGCGGGATTTGTGGTTTTAGGCATGCCAGTGGTCACATTGCTGCATTTGCCGTCACAATCACAAATGGGCACAGGAGTAATGCAATTGGGGATTTGGGAAACATATTTGTCAGGGGCATCGAATTCCCATGCCCCTCGACTTCCCAGGCCGCTGACAAATGGGCACAGCTATATAATGCAATTGGGTATTTGGGAAGTATATGTGATGGGCACAACTATATAATGCAATTGTGGATTTACGGAAGTGTATGTGACGCGCACAGCTATATAATGCAATTGGGGATTTTGGAAGCATATGTGACCCGTCGTCGACGTTTTTTTTTGTGATTTTGGGAATATGGGTCACAGTGTGAGTATGCCCTGAGGAGGGCAGGGGTTTTCGAGGCTTGCGTCTGTCTGGTGCATCTCCCAGAACGAGAGAGAGACGACGGGGAGAGGGGACAGGCAGGTGGTTTCGACGATTGCACCACCCGCCATGAGCCAAGATTCCGAACGCAGCTGGCCCGCCATCCGCCAAGATTCCGAATGCACCTGGACCAAGTTGCATTCAAAATTCAAAATGTTGGTCTGATGGTAACTGGCGCTGCTGGGCCGTAAAGAAGTGAGAGACGACAGAAAGGAAGACGATACTTGGGGGAAAACAAACATAAACATACTGATAGACCGCGCCAGGCGCGGTAGCGCAGCCAAGGGAACCCTGGGGGCCATATCCCAGTTGTTGAGGTTTTGTTATTGTTATGGTTTGGAATGTACGGCCCCTTGGCATCTGATCTGAAAGTGTCGCGGGCCAAGAGCGACGACGAGAGGAAACACAGGAAACATGAACGGGGCAAATATGGATCGGTACCCAAGAGCCAAGCTCAGTGGGCACACCATTGTACTGTTAAAATACAGACCTGTGTTCGAACCCAGATGATGGAACTTGATGAGTAAAACCAAACATTTCTGAATTGCCTGGGGCCGGTCGGCTGAATGATGATATCTCAACACCGTCACCATTCGGGGAAAAAAAAAAAAGAAAAGATGGAACCTGCAGGCCGCGGCAGCGGACGGGTGAAAAGGACAATCCACCACGATTCCAAATGTTACTCCTTGGCAACGTACTCTGTGTTCCTGCCTGGCCCTGGTGGGTGAACGGTGCACGTATAACTGTTGAAAAACAGATCCGTGTTCGAACCTTGTTCGGTGCAATTACGTTAGGGGCTACCCCTTTTAAAGAGATGGAAAAAGAAAGAAAAAAAACGTGCCCTGTGTTCATCGACTCCCTCTTTGAAGCCAGAAGGCTACCAATTCCTTTCACCCAGTGCTTATTGGTTTCAGCAGCCATAGGTTTGTATGGTTTGAACAGCCTTCTGTTCATCTTTGATTGCATGCCGAGGAGTTCATGTGCAGACTGCCTTCTGTTTATCTCTGATTGAACAGCCTTCGACGCACATGCAGACCTGGACTTGAACTCCAACCTGGACCCAGAGCGGAGGTGGGACCCGGAACCTGACAAGGTCAAGGATTTGTATCCGAGCTGGGGTCAAGATGCGGATCTAAGTCACCCTGGCTCTGCCCTCCGAGCTTATGAGCATGTAGACTCTATTTATACACAAATCTCATTGTGTGTGTGTGTGTGTGTGTGTGTGTGTGTGTGTGTGTGTGTGTGTGTGTGTGTGTGTGAGAGAGAGAGAGAGAGAGAGAGAGAGAGAGAGA